TAATGAATACACATTTCATGAAAGCAGAAACCCGAGTTTATCCTTCTTGCACCTGCACTTTGAGAGAACGGTGAATCTTTCTATTCCTGTAAAGCGTGGGCGTCTCGGAAACCCATAGGAGCAGTCCGCCCTGTCCTTTGGAGGAGTCAGAAAGGACTCAATGGCAGAGGCTGTTTGCTGCTTTGAGATTTGCACTTTATGCTGACGTGGGGTGGCTAATAGAAGAGGTGTTCAGAAAGCATATCTTCATAGAGTAACGGTCAGGAACACTCAGAACACACGTGCTCACATAGCGATATTGTACATGAGCAAGAGTTTGGTGTTGTGTGGCTAAAGGGGCAGCCTGACCAGGGGAGGAATCTGACTCCATATTTTAAGGTTGACTTGCTTTAAATCCTTTGGTGAAACAAACAGTTTACGCTTGATTATTCATCAAAAGGTTCATGGTTCAAATCCACCCAGCAGTGCCATGGAGGAAAGACCTGGTGACCTGCTTTTGTAAAGTTTATGGCCTCAAACTGAACCCCCCCTTAGAAGTATGTGCTACACAGGACAACACTAAACTTACAGGTTGGGGAGAGGAGCTGGACTGCCACACCCACCCAGAAGCAAACCACGAAGGAAAAGAGAGAGTGAGGGTCTAGACCCCTTATCGGCACACCAATCCCTCAGGGCAGTGTCCCTGCATGCAGCTGCTAAGGCACAGAGAGGACTGTAGGGCCAACAACAGCTCCAGACATGATGTCCCCTTGCTAGAGCACACAGGAACAGAGGACAAAAGAGGGAACATATGACAGTGAGTCCAGTCTGAGCCCCCACAGCAGGGCGAACCAAGAAGGGAACATAACAGACCAGCAACGGGAGTAAAACAAACCCACAAAACCCCTGAGGAGCCCCCAAAATAGACTTCAGGCTAGGAGGAGCAGTTCCTAGAATCCCCCAAGGCCAATGGGGAGATAGTCATAAAGGTCAGTGGACAGACATGGAATGATATGTTGGGGGGTGGGGGAGTTACTAGTTATTATTATTTTATATGTTTTTCTTCGTCTTCTCTCTTTTTATTCAATTTTTTGTTTTCTTTTTGTATTGTCTATGGGATTGTTGGTTTGCCACCTATATAAGATAGGCATGGGAAGCAAGCCCGAGGGGAAAGCAACAGACCAATGATTCCAGAGAGACTTAGGGGGGGAGGAGCCGGGGGAAGGGAGCCAACAATGCCATAGACAGGGAAAACTAGGGAATTAAAAGCAACAATGAGGAGGACATAGAGATCCTGGGGGTGTTGGAGCAACAACCATCTAGCTGAGAGGAATTACTAAGAGGCAGAAGAAGGGCGAGCGTGATGGCAGGGCAGGAGGGAGGTAAAGGAAACAGGAAGAATCTAGAAGCAAAGCTATGGCTAGAGGAATAAACAGGTGTGCACTTATATAAATATATTAATTCATAAAAATAGAGGTATTGGCTTAGGTACATATATTTATATGGCAATATATTGAGGAAGTGGATGGACTTCAAGCCCTCTCTTAACTCAAGAACATTTTGTTCTAACAACCTGGCATTCTGTGATGCTCACCCTCCCTGGATGATCGATCGCTGAAGACAAATGGGTGCACAAGCAAATGTGGTAAAGAAAACTAATGGTGCCTGGATAGCAAAAGATAGTCTTGGGTCTTTAAGGCTTGAAGTTAAACAAACAGCCATCTAGCAGAGAAGCAACAAGCCCACATGGAAGAAGCACGCCAGCCTGTGCCATCATGCAGTGTCGATGGGATCAGGTAACAGGCATCAGAAGACCCCAAATGAACAAGACAACACACACAAAATAAATTGTTGAGAATGAGGAGGGTTGGAGCAAAGACCCCAAAACCATCTGTAGACAAGGGGACATCTCCTCACAGAAGGGTCGCAAGGGACGAGCCAGCCAGGGTGCAGTGTAGCACCAATGAAACACACAATATTCCTCTGGCTCCTTGAGGCTTCCTCACTCCCCACTCTCATGACACCAATCCAGCCTTTCACTGCAGGCTAGGCTGGAGCATGTGCACAGGTATAGGTAAGAGCTCACGACACACCCAATCTAGGTCAGATAAACCCCTCCGGAACAGCAATGGGAACAGCAATACCAGGAGGGTAGAGGGAAGGTGGGGAGAGGAGTGGGGGAGAAACTGTAGATGAAGGGAGACAGCAGTTGGTGTAAGATATGGAAATAATAATAATTTATAATTTATTAATGGGTCATAGGGTGGGAATGGGGGTGGTGGTGTAAAAAGAGCTGATACCAAGGGCTCAAATAGAAAGTAAATGTTTAGAATGATGGCAACATATGTAAAAAATATGCTTGATATAATTGATGTATGGATTGTTATAAGAGCTGTAAGAGCCACCAATAAAATAATCTTAAAAATAATAATTTGCCCCAATCCCAACTACATGGACAACCGCTCTCCCCCCAGAAAAATTTACTTTAGAGGACAGCACTGAAGCTGCAGCTCGGGGAGGGGGACATGTCTGATCAAAGCACACGCACGGCAACAAATGAAGGGGGAGGAAGAGACAGTGGAGCACATCCTGGCCCACCAGCCTGAGGAAGATATCCCCACTGAGAGCAGCCAATGCACAGTGGACTACATGGCGGGTCCCACTACGAGACACGACATCCCTCACTGGCCCATACCCTATGGGTGACAACACTGGAGACTCAGTGTCGGGGTTGGCTCAGTCTGACCCCACCATACCGAAGCAAAACACTAAGGATATACGGCAGAGCAGGGAGGTCGCAAGGGAGTGCAAAGGAGACTTTGGGGCCAGGGCGTGGCACCCCATCAGACTTAACTGAAGGACACTCCTAGAGACCTTGAACTATTTACAGGTTTTCCTTTAAAAAAAAAAATTATATATATATGTCATTAGTTTGTTGTTGTTGTCGTGTTTTCTTTTGTCGCTTTGTCTTGCTA